ATTCTTCTAGAATTTTTATGGTTTCCTGTCGTACATTTAAGTCCTTTATCCATTTTGAGTTTATTTTTGTGTATGGTGTAAGTTGGTGGTCTAGTTTCATTTTCTTGCATGTATCTGTCCAATTTTCCCAACACCATTTATTGAAGAGACTGTATTGACTCCATTGTATGCTCTTGCCTCCTTTGTCAAATATTAATTGAGCATAATGGCTTGAGTCAATTTCTGGGTTCTCTGTTCTGCTACATTGATCTATATGTCTGTTCTTGTGCGAGTACCAGGCAGTTTTGAGAACAGTGGCTTTGTAATACAGTTTGATATCTGGTGTTGAGATCCCTCCTACTTTGTTCTTTCTCAGGATTGCTGCAGCTATTTGGGGTCTTTTTTTATTCCAGATGAATTTTTGGAGAGTTCGTTCTAGATCTATGAAGTATGCCGTTGGTATTTTAATGGGAAGTGTGTTGAATTTATAGATTGCTTTGGGTAGTATGGACATTTTAATGATGTTGATTCTACCAATCCATGAACACGGTTTTCAGTAGCTTTCTATTGCCGATAAAATATAATATAATGCCTTATCATGGCCTTCAGAACCCTAGATGCTTCTTCCCTGTGAACATCAGTTCTTGATCCTTTTTCTCTAGCTCAGTGCTCCACAGCTCTACTGGCATCTTTCTGTTTCTGTACCTGGCATTCCCTATCATTGCACTTCCATGTGCTGTGACTCTCCTGGTCCTTCAGATCTCAGCTCAAGTAAAGTCATGTTGCAGACCCCATCCCTGACTGAGCTATTTAAAGGAGCCCCCACCCAACAAAGTAACTATTCCATTTTATTTCTTCAGAGTATTTATTTCTTCTGATATATTCTTGCTGGTTCATTGATCTAGATCAGGGTTGGCAAACTTCAGCCTGTAGGCCAAATCCAGCCTACTGCCTGTTTTTGTATAGTCTGTGAGCTAATGGTTTTACATTTTTAAATGGTTGAACTAAATCAAAAGAGGACTACTTCATGATGTGAAAATTATATGAAATTAAAATATTAATGTCCATAAATAAAGTCTTTTTGGAACACAGCCACACTCATTTGTTTATATTTTGTCTCTGGCTGCTTCTGCATCACACCAGCAGAGATGAGGAGGTGCAGCAGAGATGGGATGACCCACCAAGCTTACAGTATTTATTGTCTGGCTCTTTACAAATGAAGTGTGCAGATTCCTGGTCTAGATATGTATTCTCTTTCCTCCCCGCTTTTCCACCTCCTTAATACTAAAACATTCAAAAGAAAGGACTACATGTCTAAAAGCAGGGACTATAGGTGTGTTATTTACTACATCCACAGTAAGCACATGCAAAAAAGTGGTTGTTTATTAGATGAGTGGGCAGTTTATTGAATGTTGCTGGGAAACCAGGGAGCATAATACTCTGGCCCATATTTTCATAGATCTACCAGAATATAAGGAGAAACAAAAATGCTGGGAAATTCAATGAAAGAACTCCTCAAGCAGGACTCAAGGTCACACGTAAATGCATTAAGTTTAAGTTCTTTAAGTGTGTAGATAAAATAACCCTAGGTGTAGTAAAAGATATACTCTGAAATCTCAGGAGTTGAATGCAGTAAAAGCTTAATTCTTGTTCACCTGGTGACCAGTTTTTGGGCTGAGGGCTCTGGTTAAGACTCAGGCTTAGGGAGGCTCCACTGTCTGCTTGGGTTTTTCTGGCTATCAACATCCAGCCAGCAAACAGGAAAGAGAGAAAGTGGAAACTGTGCTGCAGTTTTGGTGGAGTCAGGCTAGAAGAGCTGTGCATCACTTCTGCTGCATTCCATTGGTTAGAACCCAATCACCTGACCCACCTCAATGCAAGGCAGGCTGGGAAATGAAACTGCTGACTAGGTAGCCACTTTCACCGACACTTCTATGCCATGTTAGGCAAACAAGAATCTTGGTGGTCACTTAGTTGTCTTTGCCACAATAGGCCATTTACTTTTTAAAAATGTATTATAATGGACTTATTTTGGGCTTCAGGGGCTGTGGCTTCAAAGGCAGCCAAGAGATACAAATGTGTAAATTTGATTTAATGACTCTGCAAGGTAGATCAATTGAATTTAATTGTTCTATGATTATCTCCTTTTTTAGACTTCATTCACTTAAAAAAATCTGATCTATCATCTAGACTCATTTCCTACATTCAAAGAATCTTTAGAGGTAGATGGAAAACAGAAGATCAAAAATGGTAACTGGCCCCAGGAGAAGACCTCTCACTGTCAGAATTATTTAAATCCTCTCCTGAACAGTGGGCCCCAATCTTTACCAAACTACTGGCTCTGATTTATATTCAGAGAGAATCAAAGTTCCTGCATATCCTCAGTAGAGAATCAAAGTGCTATATAATAATCCAACCCATTTCTCTAAGAAAGGGAAATTTGCTCTCTCATCTCCAAAGTGCAATGTCTCTTCAAAAATCTTTGCCAGCTTTTTTTTTAATCAAACTGTGGAACCAGATTTCTCACCCTGCTAGATTACATGAAGTACAAGCTGGGTCTTGGCAGCACACTGCTCTTCTGACTGGTGATATTGTTTTATTTCCCTATAAGAAGGTTAGGACTAAAATATGCTTGCTCATAACATTTAACTATTCCTCTAGCTTTTGATATCAAAGGATCTGTATATAGGCCAAGCTATACAATAATTTTTATAGATTCCAATTTAACACTAGTGCTATGATACCAGCTTTAAAAGACCACTGTCCTTTTTTAAAAAAATAAAACTATTTATCTTTAGTTTACATTATAGTTTACATTCAGTATTATTTTTATTAGTTTCAGGTGCACAGCATAGTGGTTAGATATCATATACATTACAAAGTGTTCCCCCTAATATTTCTAGTACTCACCTGACACCATACACAGTTATCACAAAATTTCTGACTGTATTTCCTATGCTATATTTTATAATCCCTGTGACTATTTCATAACTACCAATCTGTACTTTTTAATCCCTTCAACTTTTTTACTCAGTCACCTCACCCTCTCCCCTCTGGCAATCATCACTCTGCTCTCTGTATCTATGAGTCTGTTTCTGTTTTGCTGTTCATTTATATTGTTCTTTAGATTCCACATGTAAGTGAAATCATATGGTATTTGTCTTTCCCTGACTGACTTGTTTCACTTAGTATAATACCCTCTAGGTAAGGACTACTATCCTTAAAAATTAAAGTCTCTTTCCAAGCCATGTAAATCTGATCTGTGCAGATTTAACTTGTTTTGTTTTCTCCTGTCTTTATTAAAATAACTTGATATTTTAGAGCAGTGTTTTGTGGTTTGGGGACCACTTATCCTTGGACATTTTGCATATAAAGAAGGTTACATTGTCAAATATGTTTGAAAAATGCTCCACAATATATACGCCTTGTGGTGATTGATAATGTTCAATAGCAAATTGAAACTGAAATGTCTTGCAATACAGAGGCCTGTTAGCCTTCAATCAGGCATTACCCTACTGAATAGACTATTACTTTTTAGTCTCCTGACAACAATATGAACGACACACTATGCTCATTGTTGTACGTGCACTGAGTCCTCACAGCAGCCCCACAAGACAGGTATTACTGTATCCATTCTACAAAGCAGGAAAGGAGGCCCACAGAGGTCAAGCAACTGGCCCAATGTCATACAGGTAGCAATTAGGGAAGTCTGCCTTTTAAACCAGATTTGTCTGATACCAAAGATCAATCTCTTAACCATCAAGCTCCCACTTTTTAAAATAACACCAATTAATACACTGTAGATTTTAGAGAAATTAGTTGCTGAGCTTCCTCCTCATCCCTGGACTGCCACCCTCCTCCCATGGAAGTGGTGAGAGGGTCCACAGATGCCCTAGGGTTCCATCGACAACCAGCCAAGCAAAGGGAGGGAGGCAAAACTGCACTGTGGTCTCTGAGCCTCTGTATTCCTCTCTGTTAAAAGAAGGGGTTGAAAGAACTGATTGCTCAGGCTTCTCTTCCAGCTCAATATTCTGGAAATATAAGTTTGTGATTCTTGTGTCCCTAGAGAGCAATCAATGTCTCCTTCCATGATGAGTAAAAGTGCCCTACACAGGTAACATCACCCTCATCCTACACTGAGGGTCAGTCTTGACCTAGTGCCCTGAGAGACGGGCTCCTTCTTCAGGCCTCTGAAGTGTCTCAGCACCCGTCTGGTCAGCAGTCTCCATGTTGGATACACTCATTCATTCAATAAACATTTCTTGTGTTGCTTCTCTGGGAAAGAATATGCATGCTAAGAAAGGGCTTCTAGAACGACTAGACCTCCAGCCTTGTCCACAAGGAGCCCGCATCATCATGGAGAAATGGGGACTGACCTGCAATCAGCTAGACCACAGGGCCAATAGGAACCTACACCAGGCACTCAGGCATTGTCCGGAAGCTTATTTGCACAGGGTAGGGCCTGGCCCTACTCTTAGCCTTCTTGGCTCAGATACTAGCTCCACGACTCTCCTATGGTCTTGGAAAAGTTACTTCACTTCTCTACATCTCAGTTTTTTCACATTTAAAATGAGAATGACAATTACCCACTTCAAAGGTTTTTGTGAGGATGAAAGGAGTTAAAACATTAAAAGCACTTAGAAGAGTGCCTGAAAATAATAAGCATTTGACAAAAGTTAACTAATAATTTCCAGCGCAGGACCAAGTCCTCTTTTAGCGAGAACAGCATAGTGGTGAAAAGCTGCCTCTGGGAACAGATTGCCATGGTTCCAGACCAAGCTCAGTCACTTCCCAGCTTCTGATGTAGCAATAATATAATCAATGTTGGCAATTATTATTATTGTTAATGACAGTGATGTTGCAGGGAGAATTGATCACTTACAACTGAGGGGACTGGGAATGACATCAGGGTGAAGGTGACATTTGAGTTGACCATTGGCACATGCCTCTGAGATGTGGAGAACTGAAGTATATCCAGCAGAATGACCACAAAACAAAACGCAACTGTCTAAAGACATATGTAGACAGAGATAGAAACAGAGATGGTGTGTGTGTGTGTATGTGTATTAACCATGCCATTTCAGTCTTCTCAAGCCTTCCATGATTTCCTGTTGCCTTCAGAATAAAGTCTACACTGTTTAGCCATTCATTCCTCATGATCTTGAGGCCTACCTCCTCCTGCTGCCTTTTTCCCAGCATAGGTTCCCACACTAGGTTTCTGCTTCTCTGAGCTCCTTAGGCCCTAGCTATCTGAATCACTCACTTGTTACTTCTGGAGACACAAGTATGTGTGTGTCAAGTCTTCCAAGGTAGACTGAAGGAATTGTCAGAATAAGAACCACTTCATAGATTTCTTTGTATTTCTCTCAGCACTACAATACAATCTCAGAGCCTTGCACACAGTAGGGACCTAATAAACATTTTGTCAAACACCTTGGAAAATGAGTCAGTATAAATAACTTACTGATTTTTTAAAAATAATGTTAGCTGATATTTTTAGGCACTGCTATATGCTCAGTATTATAATAGTTTATAATTGGTAATAAGATAAATAAATAAAGGATAAAATAGCCATCACCTAAGAGATTGAATCTTTATGGAAAAATAGAGCTAACCTAAAAAGAAAGTAAAAGGAATGCAATGCTTAATCATATGATTCCAACTACAATTCAGAATGGGCTCGGGTAGAGAAGGGTTAATAGGCATAGGGGACAAGGGGTTTGGCCTTGTGAACAACTACAGGGAATTAAGCCCTAGCTTGCACTATATAAAACAGTTTAGCTGTGCAAACACTTAAACTCTCACCCCTCGAAGAGTGCAGTTTCCAGGCTTAGCCCATCATGGTGAGGATGTTCATGGAGGTGAGGCTCGAAGAACCTGAACAGCATCTAGCTAGACCCATAGTCGGCAAACTGTGGCTCGCGAGCCACATGTGGCTCGCGAGCCGCGGTTTGCCGAGCTGTAGTTTGTCGACCACTGATCTAGACTCTTACTTTTATCTACCAACTAGAGGCCTGATGCACGAAACTTGTGCAAGAGTAGGCCTTCAAAGCCCTGGCTGCCTTGGCCCTTGCAGCCCTGGTTGCCCCACGGTCCTACAGCCCTGCAGCCCCACCTCCTAACCACTGGGTGTTCTGGAAGGTTGTTCTGCTGTCCAGTCTAATTAGCATATTAGTTCTTTATTATATAGGATACTTTAGAGTCTGGTGTGTTCAGTGTTGCATGATGTGACACTGAGCTTTTTGCTTTCCTGTCTGGTATCAGCTGGTGGCTCAGAGTATGCCAGTTCTAAGGATCCTGGCTCAACTTACATCACCACCTGCTCTCATTAACAGATTGGTTACTGGAATGAAGATGATAAGTTTGTCCCTGCAGCCACTGATGCTCAAGCTGGGGGAGATAATTCAAGTGTCCAGAATAGAACGTACATCGTCACTACAATCCTAGTGAGTACTCACTCCTTTATCAAGGCTGTCCTATCTGGAATGCAAGCTACACCTGTACAAAGGATTTCCCAGGGGTGCAAGCTGGTCATTCTTGCCAAAATTGTGCCATAGGTAGAAAGAGGGAGTAAAAAAAAAATTTCCTGGAAGTCAGATACTTTTTTCACTTGGGCTCTGCCATGATTTTACTTTGTGCCCATGGATAAGTCACTTAGTCTCCTTTGAGTCATAGTTTCCCCATAAATAAAACATACTCAGATTCCACCCTCCCCCAGTAAAATCCGTTTTCAAAGAAAGACTTCCAAGGTCCAGCTCCTACAGGAGATATAAGTGAAGCTGAAATGATTTTCAATGACTGATCTTCAGACTAGTTAGAGTCCACATCCCAAACACAGTGCCCCAAGAGGTACCTCCAAAAAATACAAGAACTTTTGGAACATAATTTGAAAAGCTGTGCACCACATCTCAATGGTGGAACATTCTTATTTTAACTCAAGAAGTTTTGTGATGGGGGAGAAGAAATGCAAAGAGGAGATTTAGGGGCTAGAGAGACTTACCCAAAGTTAACCAATGTTGGTAACATCCTCCTCTGCCACTCGGAAGTCTTCCCTCACCACCAGTGATTGCATAACCCACATTCTCTGTCTCCCCATTTCTCCACCAGGAAGATCCTTATGTAATGCTCAAGAAGAACGCCAACCAGTTCGAGGGCAATGACCGCTATGAGGGCTACTGTGTGGAGCTGGCAGCAGAGATTGCCAAGCATGTGGGCTACTCCTACCGTCTTGAGATCGTCAGTGATGGAAAATATGGAGCCCGTGACCCTGACACAAAGGCTTGGAATGGCATGGTGGGAGAGCTTGTCTACGGAGTAAGTTCCCCACAGGGAGGAAAATTTCAGAGCAGAGGCAAAATGTTTGAAAGGAAATAATTTGGTGGGTGGCTCGTCATGCCCACAGATGACTATTAGACTCCATAATTTTGCATTGCTGCTGATTAAAAGGTCAGGTGCCAAAATCCAGTGTCTTAAGACATTCTCTGTTCAGGTTTCTGGTCAAAGTTCCCTCAGCCAAACTCAGTTCAATCTTGTACCAGGTTGTATTGTCACTTTATTTATGTCTCCTTCAATATAAAGTCATGTATGGCTCAAAGTCACTTATGGTTCCCTCAAGATAACTTTCTTCCCTGGTGTTAGATGAACCCAGATCCAACTTTATCATCATTTGCCCCAATACTCCCTTGTCCTACACTTTCCATTTCAGCCAAAGCACCTCAGAGTCACTGTGTTCTCTAGAGTGCTCTCTCCCATTCCACACCTCTAAAAGCCTATCCCTCCTCCAAAGCCTGTATCAAATATCACTTTTTCCAAAGTTTCCATTCTTTCTCCCCATAACAGGTACAAACTCTCCTTCTTAACTATTCTTGCCTTTTCCTGTAAAATTTAGTTTCTGCTTCTGTTATAGCTTACACTGACTTGTATAATGGTTATCTGTGAAGTAGGTCTACTTCATCTTTATATCTTTCATTAGAGGCCCAATACACGAAATTCGTGTACTCGGGGGGTGGGGGGTTCCCTCAGCCCGGCCTGCACCCTGTCGCAGTCCAGGAGCCCTCGGGGGATGTCAAACTGCTGGCTTAAGTGGGCCTAAGCTGGCAGTCAAGCATCCTTCGTGCTGCGGCGGAGGTGGGAGAGGCTCCCGCCACCACCACTATGCTCATCAGCCTGAGCCTGGCTCAGGGCTTCTGGCTGGGTTGTGCTCCCCCTGTGGGAGTGCACTGACCACCCTTTAGGCCTATCCTTCTCACAATCCAGGACTGCTGGCTCCCAACCACTTGCCTGCCTGCCTGCCTGATTGCCCCTAATTGCTTCTGCCTGCCAGCCTGATCACTCCCTAACCACTCCCCTGCCAACCTGATCAACGCCTAACTACTCCCCTGTCAGCCCAATCTCCCCCAACTGCCCTCCCCTGCCGGCCCAATTGCTCCCAACTGCCCTCCCCTGCTGGCCTGGTTGCCCCTAACTGCCCTCCCCTGCAGGCCTGGTCACCCCTCACTGTCCTCCCCTACTGGCCTGGTCACCTCTAACTGCCCTCCCCTCATGGTCTGATCACCCACAACTGCCCTGCCCTGCCAGCCATCTTGTGTCCATATGGGGGCGGCCATCTTGTGCAAGGGTGTGGCAGTCAATTTGCATATTACCTCTTTATTTTATAGAATTATACTTAAAATAACGCCATGAACAATTTCTACAAAATCTTCCACAAATTTAAGCAGTTTTGAGAAGCTACTGAATGTGAATTGTTTTTAAATATTTAGGGAATCATTGAGAAGTAAAAGATCTGATCCCTGTCCCCCAAGGATGTTAACATTTTATAGGGTAGAAAAGACAATGAGAGAATAATAAAAGATGGTACAGTGTCAAAGTTCAGGCAAGAGGCTCTCAAGAAGGATACAGAACTTGAAAAGAGGCTATATTCAGAGAGAAAAGCAGCCCAGGAACTTCTAAAGTATAAACAATAAAATGGTGATGGAAATAAGTAAGGTATGAAAGAAGAGTGAGAAAACACTGGTGATTTTTATAAAGGGCTTGGGTGAGGAGTAGTCAGGGATAGAGTGAGAAAGAAACAACAAGAGGAAGAGTGTGGGTTGATTCAATGGGCACTGGGAGACCATGAAGGTACTTGAGTAGAACACCAAACATCGATGTAAGAAGAATCCAGTCGCCACACACAGAAATGGGAGAATGTAGCCTGGGTCTCTGAGCTGAAGCATATGCTGAGTCCCAGGTTGATATTGAGTTCTGCTCAGGATAAAGCTTTCAAAATCATTTAGGAGCTTTTAAAATCTCGTCTCATATTAAGGCAATAGGAGTCATAATGGCCATGAGAGCCATACAAAGGGAATTCAAAGAACAAAGAAATAGACTAAGGAAAATCTTCACCAGGAAGGTGGCTTTTGAGATGACCTGGAGAGATAGTTAATGAATTGAGGGGTATTTCAACCCTTTCTCCTCCCTCTCCATGGCCTCTCAATTTGGGAAGCTCTATTGATGAAAGATAGAGACCTGGATGGTTAATGCTGCATCTAGATGCTGGTTTCCATGGGAACCTCCACCAACCTTATAAGGTCATCCCCATGGCAACTACTGTGAACTTTTCACCTTCACCAACATTCATCTTCATCTTCACCCCATCTTCCCTTAATAAAAGGCCTGTGATAGGGCAGAACAATGGTGTGATCATCCTGAGGGCAAGACCCCAGCGTAGCCAAGCAATTAGTGATGAGTCACTGGCTCATCAGTACAGAGCAGAATTACCTCTGGGTGCCTCAGCTGCCAGCCTTCCCCCAGCCCTCCCCTCTACTTGGCCTGCCCTCTGCCCAGTACACACTGTATTCTGAAGACTCTGTGATGGGTCCAATTGCATTCTCTCCCTTTTCATTGGACTTTTCTGTTCTGTTCCCTGAAAAAGAGTAGAAGAATTCGGGGCAGTGTCTCCCAGCCACAAAGAACCAGTGAGGTCAGAAAAAAATAAATTGCAAGTTTCCAAATGTATTTTTTTAAATACCTAAGTTAATCAGGGTCTCATCTTCCTTTTGCTCTCTCTGTTTCTTATCAACTAATGTAGCAATAACATTTCAGCATGAAGCTAAATAATGTATCCACATTATTTCATGTACTTGTCATAACAACCCCAGAAGGTGGATATGATTATTGTCCATGTTTTATAGATAAGGACATGGAGGACCAGGGCGGTTGGGTAATTTGGCAAAGACATAATACTAGTAAAAGCCAAGTTGGAACATGCAGCCAGCCTGGCCTTTGTATTCCATGCTGAGATATACTGCCTCAATAGAAATCACACCTCCCAAGCTCTGGACTCTAAGGTGGTAAGAACTGTCAGAGCCTCTGCATTTTCAGGTGCCACAGTGGCAAATGAATCTTCCTCTTCTTACATGGACATGGCTCTGTGCCTGATTCAGAGATGACTTTCTTGCCTGTCCTTTGAGAGAAGCAGAAAGGGAGTGAACTCTGCAGATAGACACCTGGACTTGAATTCCGACTTTGCCAAATTTCTGACTACATAACTCCTGTAAGCCACTGAAATCCTTTGAAACACAGGGCTGGGGCGGGAGTATTTACCTCCGCAGTGCCTGGCTCACAGTTCTCCATCCCTGTTTTTCTTCCCTTTTTACTTTTATTTACTGCATCAAAACTGTCTGCTGTTTCCCCAGGATTGTTTTGACACCACATATTTTGTTTTGGGATATCCTAGGTCAGTGGTTCTCAAAGACTGAGGGCTGGGCCAGCAGCATCAGCATGCAAATTCTCAGGTCTCACCCAGACCCACTGAACCCAGAAACTCTGCCACCTGTATTTTTAAAAGCCCTCCAGGTGGTTCTGAGACATGCTGAGGTTTCAGAGCCACTATCCTAAAATGTCAGATTAAGTAAATAATTTTAAGCACCTGCAAAATGCTCACATTTCCCAATACCCTTATATATTAGAGTTCATTGGACCCTCACACACAAAAAAACAACCCTGTCAAATAGGTAAAACAAAAATTATGTTGTGTCTCTCTTTTTTCAATGAGGAAGTTGGTATCCGAAAGACAACTGTCTTACTTAAGGCTATGTGTCAGTGAGTCACAGAACAGAGCCACCAGGTTGATATCCTGACCCAGCTCTGCCCTTGACCAGTCCAGTGAAACTCCAGTAACGCCCCAGCCTCTCAATCAATGGGAAAGAAGCTACAGTACTGCTGCTTTACACAAACCACCCCCCCCCTCTCTGCACCTGAGTTTCTTATCTGTAAAATGAGGTCGGTGAATTTAGCATCTCCTGTTATGTGTGTGTCTTACACACATAGATCCCTATTGATGCCCAGGGATCCACAAGCAATTAATTTTAGAAATACTCTACTTCTTCCTCTGGGAAATTCTACGTGCATAGTAGTTTTTTTAAATATTCGGGAAGACCTGCTCCAAAGTAATGTGTTTAAATTTGTGCTTCCCCAACATTTTCATTTTATACTTATTTTCATTATTTTCATTTTATACTTATTAGCATCTTCCCAGAAATAATGTTCCATCAAACAAATCTTGGAAATGATCAGTGAACTAAGATGATGTAATTCGAGATCATTCCAGTCCACAGTCCATTCTATTAACTCACACCAGGGGGCATCCAACAAATCCATTCAGTTCCTGTTACCACTTTCAAAGCTCGTCATCTTCCACCTCCCTTTTGGGTAACTTGTGCTCAGTCCCTCATTTCCATTATTTTTCTCTCCCATTCCTTTTCCATTTATCACAGGTTATAGAGAAAAGAATAGATATCTTCTCCCTTGTACAGGCTTAGATGTGTTTGTAAAAACTATAAAGATGTATATAGTGGGTGTTTAGAATAAGAAACCAGAATTACTATAAAATTCATGCCTGACTCCACAGTGCTTTACGGGAAGTTACTTTCTATAAGTGAGGACCTAAGTCATTCTGAAGCCAGGCTTTTTATTTCACTTAAAGCATCTTCTCACTAGTCCAAGCCAATGAGAGTAACCAGAGGAAATCTCTACACCACACCAGCCGGCGGCTGAGGGAGGCCCTCATCTCTCGGCATCTGTCACCAGCTTCACGTCTGGACTGCTGCACAGCATTAATAGAGAAAGCCCTACACCTCAAACAGACTTTCAAAAGTGAATGCTGTGCATCTGTCCACAGAACCTTTTGGGTTTCCAGGGTCTCGTCATCTCAGGCCAACAGAGCAGTGGATTTTTTTAAAAAATATATTTTTTTATTGATTTTTTACAGAGAGGAAGGGAGAGAGATAGAGAGTTGGAAACATCGATGAGAGAGAAACATCGATCAGCTGCCTCCTGCACACTCCCCACTGGGGATGTGCCCGCAACCCAGGTACATGCCCTTGACCGGAATCGAACCCGGGACCCTTCAGTCCGCAGGCCGACGCTCTATCCACTGAGCCAAACCGGTTTCGGCCAGAGCAGTGGATTTTATTGCCCAGATGCCAAGGCTGCTGCTATTAGGGAAAGGTAGGAAAGGCAGGAGAGCAAGGCTGGTGGTTCCATGTTCAAGATGCCTTAAGAGAAGCATTGCTTGCAACCTTCTATGTTTATCTACATGCTAGAATTACATTTTAAAACGTGAATTATTTGTGTATTTCTTAGCAGTCTCCCTGGAAAAAAAAAAGTAGCGGTGAGACTTTTCCTTCTCTTTGCCAGGCCTTTACTCACATAATTCCCTCCTCCTCAAATGTGTTCTGCGCCAGAATCATACTCTGTCAAAATTCTACTCCTCCTTCAGTGCCAAATTTATATGTCACATCTTCACTGCCAAATTTATATGTCACCTCCTTGGCACTAAAGCCTCTGATCTCCCCAGCCAGAATTAACCCCTCCCTGGTCTCCTGCAGCATTTTGTAATTCTTGGATAGCACATACCCAGCCTACTTTGTAGACTGAAAGGTATGTGTGTCTGTGTGTGAGTCTCTCCCACTAGTTTATAATTCCTTGAAGGCAGGGACCATAGCCTGCTTATAGCTTACAGCCTAGGGCTTTCAAATTAATGTTTATTGAATTAAACTTGTCTTCACTACCTTGTTAGCCAGGACTATCTTGTTGCAGGTAAAAGAAACCCAACTCAAACTAGACTAGGCAAACAGAAAGACTGGTTCATGTTCTTGGGGACAAACAGGAGAATATATTAGCACATGATACCAGGGAGCCAGCATAACCCCTGAAAGCAGGGTAACCCAACTTGTTTCATTATGAATTAGCTTCTGCATCTCTCACTCTGCCTCTCAGGGCTAATGCTCACTAAACCGACGTGGGTTCTATGCCATCCTTAAATGAGTCATTCTGGCCAGGGAATATGGTCAAACCCATGTTGTGTGCTTCACAATGTAACTGTGATCAGCCACACGTGAACCAGAAAGACTGTGAGTGGGACAGGAGTGGTTCTTCTAGAACAGGAAGGAGGCTCGGCTGCCAGACAGGCAAAATATTAGGTATCACAACATCCCCTTCTAGTAGGGTTAGGAAGATGTCCTAACAATTAGAACTGTCAAACAATAGGATAACCTCTCCTGTAAGACATTGAGCTGATCATCCATCTGTCAGAAATATTTTAGAGAGAATGGGAGGGGGTTGGACTTCTAAGGTTCTTTCTAACTCACATACTTTAAGACCCAAAAGAATATCCACAGTGAAGAAAGAATCAAGAGAACAGAGTGCTGCTGAGCTCAACTGCATTTTTCTTCTTTCTTTCTTTTTCTTTCTTCTGTTTTTTGTTGTTGTGTTTTTTTTGTGCGTGTGTGTGTGTTTTTTTTCAGAGAGCAGATGTGGCTGTGGCCCCTTTAACTATCACCTTGGTCCGGGAAGAAGTGATAGACTTCTCCAAGCCATTTATGAGTTTGGGGATCTCCATCATGATAAAAAAGCCACAGAAGTCCAAGCCGGGGGTTTTCTCCTTCCTCGATCCTTTGGCTTATGAAATTTGGATGTGCATTGTGTTTGCCTACATTGGAGTGAGTGTCGTCCTTTTCCTGGTCAGCCGCTTCAGCCCCTACGAATGGCACAGTGAAGAGTTTGAGGAAGGGCGGGACCAGACAACCAGTGACCAATCCAATGAGTTTGGAATATTCAACAGCTTGTGGTTCTCCCTGGGAGCCTTCATGCAGCAAGGATGTGACATCTCCCCCAGGTCAGTCAGCTCTTTTCAGCCTCTTTGCTCAGTGTTATATTTTTCTTGGTACAAGCAAAATGCTGAAAAATTAGGGTTAGGAATTATTTGCAGACTAATTTGTACTCAGTGTTTCAATTATGCTTTACCATCAACCGTCTGTTGCATGCTGTGGCTTATTTGGACGCATCCTGTGTCTGGGCCAGTTCTGTCTTCTAGGCTGATGTGCTCTGTCAAGACTAATAGGCATAATCACAATGTGATGTTCTGTAGCTGAAAGGTACAGAAAAAGGATGGGGGAGGTAGTATGGTACAACTAACATATATTGAGCACCTACCATTTGCCAAGCAAGGTTCTAAGTTCTCTATTTGCATTTATCTCATTGAATCCTCACAGAAGCATAAGGTGGGGCTCTCATGATTTCTCCTTTTGTGATCAAGGGACCACAGAAATGCTGAATATTTTGACAAGTGTAAACACCTAGCAATTAGGTGAGTTGAGATTCAGACCGCCACCCGTTCTTCTTCTGAATGGTGAAGGAGCAACGGACTATGTAGGGGTGGGCAACAACATGCTCTTTGTAACCCTGAGCAAGTCATCTGACCCTTTGTACCTTCATCTTTATGAGAAAAGCTCTTTTTCTTGGTTCTGAGAAAGTCCTTGGAAATAATTTAGTTCTGGTGGAGATGTAAAATTGTTTCTGGTGGTTCAAAAATGAGGCTTCTCAGGGCTGCCTCTTAATTTATATCAAGAGTATTAGGGTGAGCATATCAGTGAGGTTCCAGCCCAACACAAGGAATCAGAGTAGCTCCATTTTTGCCTATTTTATATATTGGACTGGTGAATCATATTTCTTTTGTGGAAGGATTCTGAAGCTAAGAAAAAAGAAGAAGGAGAGAGAAATTTGAAAAACACCAATCTAGATCAATTCCCACATTTATTCACCTCCTGTCTTTGTGTGTAATGTTCTTTCCAGTACATTCTAAAGTGTTTGTGCCACAAATCTCTTCCAACTTACTGATAAATAAGCACTGACCATATTTCCTTTTACAGTGGCATAATGTCCATGAACTCTTCCTCCAGAAGGCAGCCCCTTATAGATTACCAAGTTCCTACAGTACACAGGGAGGCATGGCTAAGAATTTGGTGACCATGAGTAGATTTGCACACACTCTCTTTCTGGGGGCATAACTGTATATATATCAAGGCCTCATGAGCATGAGTTGGTGACATCTGTACCACAGATATAATTATTTTGCATTTGAGTGTTGATGAGGACCAATATTCCTAAGTAGCAATGGAATAAAATCTTTCTAAGGAGCTTCCCATCGGAGTCACTTTGCCTGCTGTATAATTTAGATCGTCTCATTATTCACCATTATAATTTTGTTTTTCTTTAAATAAGAAGACAGTCGGGGGTTGCGGGGAGTGTGTGGGAGAGGAGGTGTGAGACTAGATACTTGGCCAATACTGGCAAACACATGGTGAAGAGTAGATAGAACCAAGCAGGGGAAGGGCTTACTTAAAAATAGACCAGGCCAGCGGATAAACAGTGAGAAGAAATGGTTCTTATGTATTTGGTATAATGTAGAGCCATCAAAAGATGCCTGTGTCTCAAAAGACCCATGGGCTTGTTTTTTCTCCATTATTTCCTTCCTCAGTCGGCATCTTACCTCTTAATGGCACCTTTGTGGGCTGGCCTCAGGCACCTCACCATTCCTCCAGAGCTCTCAGTTGGTGGCCAACAACCTTGCCAGGCATGTTTTTCATGTTTTAATCTTCACAGAGTCTGGCAATGGTTACCCAAAACTGAGTGGCCTCTTTAGCTGATCCACACATTCCCCCCTTTACTGCAGTCCCCATCTTTCTGTTTTCATTACTTAATTACTCAGCTGGCCCCTGAAAGGGTACCTGAGTGTGTGACCTCTGCCTATAATAGGACTTTCTGTTTCCAGGACAGCAGAGGGTTTCACTAGGGTATCCTAGGAATGGACTTAAGTGAAGATGAGACTGTACAGGAATGTACCCAGCTTCCTTCCTGCCAATCTTTAATAAAACAACTACGTTCTATGCCTCTGTTTTTTCACTGGTAAAATGGAAATAAGAGTTTCTACCTTAAGTACGGATATGAAATTTAAGAGATTGATACATATAGACCCCATAACACAGTATCCAGCCAGCACAAAGGAAGCGTATAAAGCAGATGCTGTTTTTTATTATTTTACCCATTTTAAATATTAGACTTCTACAAAACTTCACTAGAAGACAGTGTGCTTACACCGCTTTCAAAGCCACTGGACTTCTCCCTTCTGGGGAAGTCGAGGATCAAAAGAGAAACAGCCATTGGTTCCCTCCAGACCAGCAATGCCTGGATTTCTGAGGCTCTTCCTCACAGGAAATGAGAGGAAAGATTTGTCATTTAAAATTAAAGAGTCTGACAGACACAAGAGTAAGCCTAACAAAATAAGGAGTTTTATCTACCTGGGGTGGACTCATTTTTATGGAGCCTGACCTGGCCACTTCCAGAGCTTAGGGGCCTGTAAAACCCCCCTCAGAATCAGAATATACATCACAATGTTTCTTGGAAACACATGCTAAAGAGAGATGGCCTCTTGCTAGTGTCAGACAAAAGGATACTTTGACAGTGATCTGGGCCACAGACCAAGCAAACAACTGCAAACACCAACAGAAGCTTATGTTTTATACACATTTCCTGATGAATTTCATGATATGCATAATACCATATCATGGTGCTATGGTGGAAGGTATTTTTGGCTGCTATAGTGGAAGGTATTTTTAAGGAATGTGTATATATCAAACACCCTTTCCAATGAGTTTCAATTAATTCTTCTTGTTATTTCCTGAAAGAATAGACCTTAAATCCTCACGAATTTAGAATTTGGGAAACTAAGTTTCTTCAGAATTGTATTTGCATTCATATGCATGACACTCTATCTCTTTTTAACCTCTTCAAGATTCATATTAAGATCTATTGGCCAACGCCAACAAAATGTGGCCAAATGTGATTGTCTGCACATCACAGAATAACCTGACCACAGTAATGTGAACAGAAAGAGTTCTGTTTCTCACATAAGAAAGGTGGTGGTAGACAGTGGCTCTTGCTTGACTCAGTGGCATCAGGGTCAGCTATTCTGTAACTCTTTTCGTCATGTTTGCAAGATAGCAGCTCCCAGATTCTGTCTCCATATTTAAGCAGCAAGAAGGGAAAGAAGGGTTGCCAGCCATTTCTATCTCTTTGGATCAGGAAATAAAAGCGTAACAGAATATCCCCCACCCCAAGCAAACATCTTCCCCTATCTCATTAGTCAGAACAGTGGCCATGATTACTTTCAATGGCAAGGGAGGTTAGGAGGCAAGAAATTGGGTGTTCTAGCCTCTAGAAAAGAAGGGGTGGGAATGGAGTTTGGAGAATCAATCAGCAGCATTGTCTAAAGCAGTGGTTCTCAACCTTCCTAATACCACGACCCTTTAATACAGTTCCTCATGTTGTGGTGACCCCCAACCATAAAATTATTTTCGTTGCTACTTCATAACTGTAATTTTGCTACTGTTATTAATCATAATGTAAATATCTGATATGCAGGATGTATTTTCATTATTATAAATTGAACATAATTAAAGCATAGTGATTAATCACAAAAACAATATGTAATTATATATGTTTTCCAATGGTCTTAGGCGACCCCTGTGAAAGGGTTGTTCGACCCCCAAAGGGGCACGACCCACAGGTTAAGAACCGCTCGTCTAAAGTATCTAAAGTCAGTGCTTTCTGAACCAGCGCCATGAATAGATAAAATAACCTGTAATTAGCACAGTGAAGGACCATGCCAACAGATGCTACTGAAGTGCTTTAAAGACTCTTCCCTCCCCCTTTTAAATGTTTATATAAAAATTGTGTTCTGTGTAACCTATTTTAACATTCAAAGTTAAAATTCACTCTAGTTGTGATCACAGATTAAAATGCCATCCATGAATTGACTTGTAGGCCCAGAGATCTATTTTTAATACATATATCAGATTCCTTTTTTATAGAGAGGAACATTTTGAGAAGGGATATATGAGAGACAATCATCACCGTCAAAATTTATCTTCAGTTCCCTCAACTTCCCTTCTGTACATTTTCTCCTATTTGTGGCCTGTGCCATCCGTTTATTCTACAGATGTTACTGATCATCTATGGCATGGAGGGCATGGTACCAGGTGCTGAGGATATGAACATACATTGATGATGGAGCATAAGGGTGGGAGTCTTTGCTTCAAGGAACTAGCACTATAGTGGTATGAACAGACATTGAACAAGCAATTGGGAATGTATAAATTGTGATGTACTATGAATAAAATTAACCTCCAATAGCAATAGATAATAAGGAAAGTAGTATTAAATGGGACTTACTTAGGATGTTTTGAGAAGGTTTATCGGAGGAGCTGATAGGTAAGAGGGAGCTAGGCTTATTAGAACTGAGAGACATAATAACCATGTGTAAAGGCCCTCAGGTGGAAAAGAGCTTAGTGCTTTCCACTAAGGGTAACCAGTGTGCATGACTTGTAGTGAATGAAAAGAATTGGGGTTTGAGATAGCATTATAAAAGTACGTAGAGGCCAGATCATATAGGGCCTCATGGCCATAGTTCAGATTTGGAGTTTTACTCTAAATACAATGAAAAGATATTGGAGAGCTTTAAGCAAGGAAAGAATTGATTTACATGCTAAAACACCACTCTGAGGAGCTATGATGAAAATGAATTAGAGCAGAGAATAGCTAAGAGTGGAAGCAGAGGGGCCAAGCAAGATGCTTTCCTGGGCGTCCAGGGGAAATTACAGTGATGGAAATTATAGTTGTGTATGTGGATTTGTGGTCTACTTTGAAACTAGAATGAATAGCACTTGCTGATGGATTGGATACATGAAGGTGAGGAGAGGGAGGAGTCCATGGTAAATCCAAAAGGTAGGGAGCATTTGAAAAACATGGAACTATAGGTCCAGAGACCTTTAGTGGATC